CAAAAGAAGGCATTCTTCAATGATTCAGTCTAACTTACATTATATGCACTACTATTAGAGATGTGCTTCTAATAGAGTAAATTAGCTACCCATAAATAACATTTCTGACATTTCTAGCGGCAAAAATGTAGTTTTCCAGTGTTTATTTCATACCCCCCTCCCTCTTCATAGAAGCTACATATAAACATGATGATTTAATTCATTTCATTTCCTATATAACATTTTTAACAATTTCTAATTTGTTTTCAGATATCAATGAATGTGCTAGTAGTCCATGTCAGAATGCTGCCACTTGCTCTAACCTACTCAATGCTTTTGCCTGTACTTGTGCACCAGGTTGGACTGGCATCATGTGCACAGATGGTAAGTTAAACCGTAAACAAATAACGTACTGGTATTGTCATGATATCACTATCAACCATGACAGATGTGCACTTTCATAAAATCAAGTACTTTTACTTTTTGTATTTTTGATTTTTATTAGACATGCAAATAATTGTTGTTGTTGTTTTTAGATGTGAATGAATGTTCCAGCAGCCCGTGTGTGAATGATGGTACATGTTACAATGGTCCAAATTTTTACAGCTGTACATGTTTACCTGGTTGGACTGGATATAACTGTGAACTGGGTGAGTTCATGCACATGTATCTTTGTGGTTTTCTTGTACAAGTACAATGTATCAACAATATGCAGACTTGTTTGTAGTTTTCATGTCACTGGTAGCATAGTTGTTGTCGCATCAGACTCATTAGACGCATAGTTAGACCCAAGTTCAAATCCTACCTTACGCTGCACATTAAAAGGGTGACCCCTACCCTGGTTACGTGTGCAACAGACTCAATGGGAAGGCCAATTCCACTGGCCGAGATTCATTCACTAACGAATGTTGCCTGGACTCATAGCCTTGGTTGGCAGCTAGTCTAGGAGAAGGAAAACTCTCAGGCAAAAGGCTAGGCCCATGTCCGATAACAGTGGTTTGTGACAGGAAGGGCATCCGGCAGTAAGAACCCTATGCCAAACAAAATATGATGCAGAGATATTATCCGCACGGCGACCCTAGCAACTGGGAATAAAGCCGTAGAAGAAGAAGAAGTTTGTAGTTTTCATGTCATTCCCAAATTTTCACCAATATATTATCTGGACTAAACAGCACCAAATCATCATGTGATTGGGTAATATTTGCAGGTTAATTGTAATGTGAACAAATTTGGATTTAATAGACCACTTTCCCGAAAGTAGCGAGACTGGGGTGCAAAAATACTCCTGCTTTGTCATGACTTAAAATACAAACATGTCTGTTGGCTGACAGTCGATAGAAGGGAATTTTATTTTTGTGACGTCAATTGGTACACCCAGAAGCATAATATCACACATGCACCTCAAAACGATATGCGCACTGATGTGAAACCTTGTATCTTTGACTTTCGGGAAAGTTATTAATGATGAAAATGAAACTTGCAAACATTTGATTATTTGAAAACATTACTGGAAACACAACAATTTTTTAAAATTTATAATAATTATTTACAATTTATTTTACATATACTGTTACATGTATGCTGTTTGTTGAATAGTATCGTATTGTGAAAACACCAAGATCGTTACACTTCACCACGTGGTCATTGAATAGTATCGTATTGTGAAAACACCGAGATCGTTACACTTCACCACGTAGTCATTGAATAGTATCGTATTGTGAAAACACCGAGATCGTTACACTTCACCACGTGGTCATTGAATAGTATCGTATTGTGAAAACACCAAGATGGTTACACTTCACCACGTGGTCATTGAATAGTATCGTATTGTGAAAACACCGAGATCGTTACACTTCACCACGTGGTCATTGAAAGGTATCATATTGTGAAAACACCGAGATCGTTACACTTCACCACGTGGTCATTGAAAGGTATCATATTGTAAAAACACCGAGATTGTTACACTTCACCACGTGGTCATTGAATAGTATCGTATTGTGAAAACACCAAGATCGTTACATTTCACCAAGTGGTCATTGAATAGTATCGTATTGTGAAAACACCGAGATCGTTACATTTCACCAAGTGGTCATTGAAAGGTATCGTATTGTGAAAACACCGAGATCGTTACACTTCACCACATGGTCATTGAATAGTATCATATTGTGAAAACACCAAGATCGTTACACTTCACCACGTGGTCAACATTTCTATCATAAATTTGTTGTTATTGCAACAGTCATGTTAATTCCCAAATGTTCTTGCTTTGTTGTAGATATTAATGAATGTACTAGTAATCCTTGTCAGAATGGTGGAACCTGTTACAATGAACAAAACAAGTATTCCTGTGGCTGTACACCAGGATGGTTTGGGGTTAACTGTGCTCAAGGTATGCAGTATTTCTGGTTTACTTTATAAATGACACCCTCCACCTCACATCAAAAGTTTTTACTCAACTAAGATAATTTCTAAACCACACCCTCATTTCTGAATGTCTAGGAATCCGTCCCCCAAAGTACTGTCTGGAATCGGCTATATCAAATTATACAGTACATTTATTTTATTGTTCATCTTGATAATGATTAAATATAATCTCTATTTTAAGATATGGATGAATGTGCTAGTGGACCGTGTTTGAATGGAGCCACTTGTCAGAATGGTCTCAATTCTTATACCTGTTTCTGTTTACCTGGATGGACTGGCACTACTTGTAATATTGGTAAGTTTCTTGATGATAACAAAAGTATTTTTAAAATAGGTACAACGCAATCACCAGTACAACAGTGAAATTAAAGTAATTTACTGTATTAGGTGGACAACAATTGTTTTATTACATATTTATGTAAGTCATATCAGCTATTCGTGATGTAATAAGCAGAAACTATAATTTTTAGAAAAAGATAAAAATATTTTAATATATAAATAAGAAAATAAACACAAATGAATTTCCTTATAGGTTTGAAAGGAACACACTTGGTCACTCTGCCTTGCATTTACAATGCATCACACTACCCGATTGACCAACCAACATTTTGATATTAATTCAAAATCTTTCCGCAGATGTGAATGAGTGTTCAAGTCAACCCTGTTTGAATAGTGGTACATGTAGAAATGGTGCAAATTCTTACACATGTAGCTGTTTAGCTGGATGGACTGGATCACATTGTGAACTGGACATTGATGAATGTCTTAGTGCTCCTTGTCTTAATGCTGCTGGCTGCAATAATTTAAATAATAGATATTCATGTACTTGTGCACAAGGATGGCAAGGAATTAACTGTGAAGCTGGTAAGCAATACCTTCATCTCCTTAGCAACCGCATCTGACTCTTTCATGGTCTGATTTTTGCAGAGAGTGTAAATGGATGAATCAAAACTTGGTACATGAATACTGCGTGTTGTCATTTAGTCTGTGTATATTATTTAATATGTAGTTTGCATACTAATTACCTATTTTGCGTGTTTCTTTTGTTTTCTCATAATTTATAATGAAATTTATTTAATAATCATTTCAGATATAAATGAGTGTGCCAGTAATCCCTGCTTCAATGGTGCCACTTGTAACAATCTACTGAATTCTTATTCCTGTACTTGTGCCCCCGGCTGGACTGGTGTGAATTGTGAAAGCAATATCAACGAATGTCTAAGTTTGCCATGTTTGAATGGCGGTTCTTGTGCTAATGGCCCTGACAGATACACTTGTATATGTTTACCAGGATGGAATGGTGTCAACTGTGAAAATGGTAAGGATAATATTTTTAGTGGATTTACATGAAATTTACATGTCACTTTAATGGCAGTATTATATGTTCATTATCATACTTGTTTGTTTATTTTCTTTCCTTAGATGTGAACGAGTGTTTGAGTAATCCATGTCAGAATGGCGGTTTTTGTACTCATTTACAGAATGCTTATCAATGTCAGTGCTTAGCTGGTTGGACTGGCAATAACTGTGAAATTGGTATGTATAAATCAGAAATGGTGATTTCATGATTAAAACTGCTAATAATTTGATAATATTTAACTAAGCTTTGATTATCCTTTGATTCTATGTAGGTATCAATGAATGCAGCAGTGATCCTTGCATTAATGGTGGTATATGTATTAATGGCGATAATAAATATTCCTGTCAATGTCCTGCTGGGTATACTGGCTACAACTGTGAAATTGGTGAGTTTAACATTCTGTAATTTCAGTATTTATTACTGGTCCTTTCGTAGCACTTATACCTTGCACAATCTTCAGGTTAGTCATTGTATTTTATATGCTTAGTTTATATGAAATCTTTATCTAAAAAAGTATTAAAAGTGTTTTGGTGATATTGTAATTTTGGTGTTACTCAAATACTGATTATTTTCTTTTTTTAGAAATTGATGAATGCAGTAGTAATCCATGTTCTGGTGTCTCAACATGTGTTAATTTAGTAAACAGATATCGATGTCTGTGTTCTCCAGGTTGGACTGGAGTCAAATGTGATATAGGTAAGGTTTAGAATAAACAATTGTATTGAACTAAGGGACATAGTGGTTATAATTTACATATAAATGAATTTTAATCATGTGACCTCTTTAAGTATCTTGTTTGTGAGAGTTGTCCCATATTTTGCTTTCCAAGTTTTCAAAAGCAGGACCCTTTGTGCCTTCCAAGTTTCAAAAGGCAGGACCCTCATTGCTTTCCCAGTTTCCAAAAGCAGGACCCTTTGTGCTTTCGAAGTTTTCAAAAGCAGGACCCTTTGTGCTTTCGAAGTTTTCAAAAGCAGTACCCTCTGTGCTTTCCAAGTTTTCAAAAGCAGCACCCTCTGTGCTTTCCCAGTTTCCAAAAGCAGGACACTCTATGCTTTCCCAGTTTCCAAAAGCAGGACCCTCTTTGCTTTCCCAGTTTCCAAAAGCAGGGACCCTTTTTGCTTTGCCAGTTTCCTAAAGCACAACCCTCATTGCTTTCCCATTTCCAAAAGCACAACCCTCATTGCTTTCCCAGTTTTTATAAGCAGCACCCTCTGTGCTTTCCCAGTTTCCAAAAGTAGGACACTATGCTTTCCCAGTTTTTATAAGCAGGACCCTCTTTGCCTGTTTCCGAAAGCACAACCCTCATTGCTTTCCCAGTTTCCGAAAGCACAACCCTCATTGCTTTCCCAGTTTCTGAAAGCACAACCCTCATTGCTTTCCCAGTTTTCAAAAGTAGGACCGGGCCCTCTGCGCTTTTCCAGTTCTGAAAGCACAAACCTCATTGCTTTCCCAGTTTTCAAAAGCAGGGCCGCTGTGCTTTTCCAGTTTCCAAAAGCAGAACACTCCATGCTTTCCAAGTTTTCAAACGCAAGACCCTCTGTGCTTTCCCAGTTTTCACAAGCACAACCCTCATTGCTTTCCCAGCTTTTCAAACGCATGACCCTCTGTGCTTTCCCAGTTTTCAAAAGCACAGCCCTCCTTGCTTTCCCAGTTTCCAAAAGCAGGACCCCCTGTGCTTTTCCAGTTTTCAAAAACAGGATCTTCACCATGCTTTCCCAGTTTCCAAAAGCGGGATCCCCTGCATTTTTCCAAGTTTACAAAAGCAGGACCCTCTGTGCTTTCAATAGCAGACACTCAATGTTTTGTATGATGCAACACAAAGCGATGTTTTTATAAACATGCTATGAATGGATATTGTTTTCATTAATGTTGTACATTTATTATTTTTCAGATATTGATGAATGTGCCAGCAATCCATGTGTCAATGGCGGCACATGTGTTAACGGTCAAAATCAATATACTTGTTTATGTGTTATTGGATGGACAGGAATTAACTGTGATAACGGTATGTCAAAATTAGTGTCTTTCTGTGATAGATCAATAACCAGTTAAATATGTGCCCAGTTCAATCACTAATCAGTCAAATCAATTATAGATTGAATCAATGATCAGTTTAAATCTGTGCCAAGTTCAATCACTAATCAGTCAAATCAATGTTAGATTAAATCAATAATCAGTTAAATCTGTGCCAAGTTCAATTACTAATCAGTCAAATCAATTATACATTGAATCAATGATCAGTTTAAATCTGTGCCAAGTTCAATCACTAATCAGTCAAATCAATGTTAGATTAAATCAATAATCGGTTGCATATGTACCCAATTCAATCACTAATCGGCCAAATCAATTATAGATTGAATCAATGATCAGTTTAAATCTGTGCCAAGTTCAATCACTAATCAGTCAAATCAATTATAGTTTGAATCAATAATCAGTTAAATATGTGCCCAATTCAATAACTAATCAGCCAAATCAATGATAGATTGAATCAATAATCAGTTAAATATGTGCCCAATTCAATCATTAATCAGCCAAATCAATGATAGATTGAATCAATTATCAGTTAAATATGTGCCCGATTCAATCATTAATCAGCCAAATCAATGATAGATTGAATCAATAATCAGTTTAAATCTGTGCCAAGTTCAATCACTAATCAGTCAAATCAATGATAGATTGAATCAATAATCAGTTTAAATCTGTGCCAAGTTCAATCACTAATCAGTCAAATCAATGATAGATTGAATCAATAATCAGTTAAATATGTGCCCAATTCAATCATTAATCAGCCAAATCAATGATAGATTGAATCAATAATCAGTTTAAATCTGTGCCAAGTTCAATCACTAATCAGTCAAATCAATGATAGATTGAATCAATAATCAGTTTAAATCTGTGCCAAGTCAATCACTAATCAGTTAAATCAATGATAGATTGAATCAATAATCAGTTAAATATGTGCCCAATTCAATCATTAATCAGCCAAATCAATGATAGATTGAATCAATAATCAGTTTAAATCTGTGCCAAGTTCAATCACTAATCAGTCAAATCAATGATAGATTGAATCAATAATCAGTTTAAATCTGTGCCAAGTTCAATCACTAATCAGTCAAATCAATGATAGATTGAATCAATAATCAGTTTAAATCTGTGCCAAGTTCAATCACTAATCAGTCAAATCAATGATAGATTGAATCAATAATCAGTTAAATATGTGCCCAATTCAATCATTAATCAGCCAAATCAATGATAGATTGAATCAATAATCAGTTTAAATCTGTGCCAAGTTCAATCATTAATCAGTCAAATCAATGATAGATTGAATCAATAATCAGTTTAAATCTGTGCCAAGTTCAATCAC